AGTGCTTTTCCTGCAGGTTGTCTTATCCAGCTCATAACACAGCAGTTAAACGTGAAGCCAGATCCTCTGCAGGAGAGACTGAGAGTGATGAGATGAAAGAAGAGAGGAACCAGAGAAGAAAGTGAGACAGTCATCTGGGAAGTTTTCTGGGATCACTGACTGACCATCAGTTAATGTTGTCTGATAAAAGATAAAACAGCAGGAAGCAGGAGAACTCACAGGGCAGAGAGAGAGCAACCAGCAGAAGAGTGAGTGTGTTGATCATCCTGAGGCTGGAGATGTGACCTCTGATGCTGCACACAAAGTACAAGAGCAGTCAGCAAGACAGAAGTACACTGCACAGACTGAAGATTTGCATCAGGATATCACGGGGAGGGAGGGGCTCATGCACAGGCACTCTGTTAGAGTTTAATTTATTCATTTATTTTGCAACAATGGCTTTAATGTGTGAAACCTGTGTGATGATATGCAAAAAACTAATTACTGTAGTGCAGAGGAAAATATCTGCTGTCAATAAATGTATGTGAAAGTGCCCTTTTATATCACAATTAAATCTTACATTAGTTTTCTCAGAGGAGTTGTTTAATGAAGTTCTGTTATGGAACAAGCAAGATTTGCCTTTCAAGAAAAAGTATTTCTACATTCACATCTCTGTTTAGGAATATTTTCCAAATCAAACAGTAACAAATGTTTGGTGTTATGGTATTGTATCATTTTCTTCAACTACTGCTTGAAGTAATAACATTTATCATCTGAAATAATTATGTTAAAGATGAGTTCTGTAGAATTTTGTACAGGTGCCCAAATGAGCACAATAATAAACAGCAGAATCTTCAGTCTTCAGACTGTTCATCTGCAGATACACCTGCTGTCTGCTGTTGTCTCTGGAGATGGTAAACCGGCCTTGAACTGACTGAGAATAGTATGTAGCATGTCTACTTGTGTTTTTAATAAATTTATGAGAATTTATACAAAATTATGAATTTTAATATTCAGAGAATATTCATTCATAAAGCTCTCATTTTGCGGGGCAACCCCGGAGATCTAATTCGCCCAGAGTCCCCGGACCTCTGGGTAGCGTTTTAATAATTATACAATTATTCACTAGTGATCAGTTAGTTAATAATCGTTCAATTACCTTAAATAAATCAGTCAGTCTCATATCGAAGGGGTAAATTCTCGTGACAGGGAATTGGAGGTAGGCAATACACACACCATTCCTGTGATTACAGTGAAATTTATTAACTAAGGTGACATAAAAATGCGGTTAAATATACATCAAAGAAATAAACAATGGCTAAACAGTGGGGATGTGGGGTTCTATTGTGAGGAGAATTTGACTCACACAGGCAGCTAATGAACGCAAGCTATGAGTTTTAAGAGGTAAAGATAATCTATTAACAAACTATTGGACATCACTGATAACAGAATGCCTTGGTTTGGTCTTACTGCTTGTCGTTTCTCTCAGCCGGGTTGCTGGTCGGCGGCCTCACGCTGGCGAAGTTCCGTGCGTTCTCGGTTAGGACGGCCTAAAGCCGTCGGCCAGTCGCTTTCTCTGCCAGGGAATTGCTCTGGAGGTCCATCTTTTGTCGGCTTATTGATGAAACTCGCAGTGGGGGCCTTTTCAACCCTGGCTCGGGTCAGAGGAGGGATCAGTGTAAGTTAGCTCAACGAATAAAGCTTAAAAAGAACTTGGTCGTTCTTGAATTAAAATTGTGTAACTTAACGGTCTGATAACTTAACAAAGAAAAGAAAAGAAAAGCAAGCAAGTAAGTTCCTGGAAATGAGGGAAAAATTGACGTTGCGGCTCTTCACGTGTGTGGCTTCGCTGCGCGGGGTCGAACTTCTTAGGGCGTTGCCGGGAGATGGGGTACGCTGGGTGCGTGCCGAAGTGCAGTTGCAGAGAACCAGAACAAGAGAGAGCAGGAGACAGCGTGTGTCGCTGCTTTTGGGGGTTGGGGCGTGGTTCCCAGAGGGACAGTCTTTTGTTCCCCTGAGGGAGGGCTTTGTTTCCGGTTTCCTGAGAAATTGTCATTTCTTTAAACTTTTAATATGTCTATTCAAAAATCTATTTGCGCGTATTGTAATCAAATATCTTCCCACAATCAAACCTTAATTGTCAAACGGGTATACCGTTCTTAGTTTTAAGCATTTGATAAAAGGAAAACAATTGTCAGTAGTTCAACCTTAGGTTAGCATTTCCTAGGAATCACATCGGCATTTCAGAACGATGGCATGTAATACTTATTTTGTCCACTTGGGGGAGCTCTGGTTACATGAAGATAGCTTTGATTAATCCTAAAACAGTCTTCTGCTCAGGAGCTGGGGAATTTAGTTATTTAACATTAAATTCGAGCTGGAAAATTAATCAAGTATAGGATGACATTTCTTTATCATCATTTCTAAAGTAAGTGTCATAAAGTGTTGGGAACAAAGCATTGGTTACAACATAAAATGAGGCAATGTCATTGATCCTTGTTGAAAATTAAAACTTAAAATTAACTTATTTTGATAATTTTCAACAACAAATATCAACAACAACATGGTAACATAACTACTAACCTAAGAGGCAAACACCACTACTAACTTAGCAAGGATTATTATTTAAACAGAACAAAACAGTTTCTAATGAAACATTGTTTATGCTCAAGAAGGCAGGAGTTGTTTGTGTCCCCCTCTCGCAATCCTGGCTTATCACATTTGCACATCGGCTAAAGAGAGAAGGGAGTGGCTCAGCCATTCTGTGGAAAAGGAATAAACGGGTGGTACTTTTGATGTTCGGAGGTGACCTGTGGAGAGAGAGGGGCCGGACAGCCCCTCTGCTGTCCTGCTAAGTGTCTCTATTGACACCTTTACGGCAAGAGGGGTTCACTAAGGCTCTTTGAATACACAGTCCTTAAGCGATGCATGTCTGATTGAGTCTCTGCAGATCCTTACCAAACCCCAGGCGATGTCTCTAGTTTTTGCATGTCAAAAGGCCAAGCCCCCCCCCCCCGGTACTGTCACCATAGATTAAACCAATCCACTCCAGTCCATTTCCAGGAGTCTGTCTGATCCAGTGCATGGTTTATGTTGAAAGTGACGTGCTGTGAATTCCACTGACAGCCAGATTTTTATAGCTGAGTAACAAGGAAGGTCACTGAGTTTGCATAGAATCAAACACATGAAGCATCAATGTTGGTCTAACTAGAGCTTTTCTGCTTTTCAAATAACTTTATTGCTGTTTAATTGCATCAACTGGGTGGTGATGGAGCATACATAAAATGCTTGCGTTTGGTGTTGGACCTGGGTTCGAGTCCCACTGTGAGACATCCACCATTGTGTCCCTGAGCAATACACTTAACCCCTTGTTGCTCCAGAGGCGTGCGACCTCTGACATGTATAGCAATTGTAAGTCGCTTTGGATAAAATCGTCAGCTAAAATGAATAAATGTAATTCAACTTTCAGAATTCTCTCTGTATCTTCTATAAACATTTATTTGCAGTTTAAACACAATCATTATTTAAATCCCATTGTTATGGTGTGTTGGACAGAGACGACCCAAAAGCAACACTCAGGTGAAAGGATTTATTGAGGGGAAAAAGGTGTTGAGGAAGTGTAGGTAAGGGAGAGGTGGATGCCGGGGGAACACGGGCGCAGGGGACCGAGGAGTAAGTAGGGCTGAGGCACGGGGAAGAGCCTGGAAGACGGCGTGGTTGGGGTCTGAGAGGAGAGGGCAGGGTGGCGAGCCCAGCTGACAACGAAGGGCGGAGGTGAGTGAACCTGGAGGGAAGACAGACTGTGTTAGGCACAGACAAAACCAAGAACAGGGAAACAAAGATGATGCAGGTTATGCACGGGCTTGAGTGAAGAAGTGGCACCAGGTTAGGAGCAACAACGATCAAGCAGAGATTGTGTGGAGAACCAGGGTTGAAGTACTGGCAGAGATGAGGTTGATGAGGCGCAGGTGTGGATTGTCAGCCGGGCTCAGGAGCGGAGAGAGAGGGAGAGCACACACACAAGGAGAGGAGACACAAACAGGCAGGCCAAAACACGAGGGGAAAACAGAATCACGAGAAAAAAGGAGAAACAGGACACTAACCGTCAGCTGGGCTGCCACCACAACACCCATATTATACTTTCTTCAATAATCAAAAACCTTGCTATATAAATGATCTCCATACAAAATATATAGTATTAAAGTAATTTACTTTGTTTGTGAGCGTTAATCTTAAATACCCTGCCATCACTCCACTTTCTCTCAGAATTGGTTTTAATGAAACTAAAGTCTGTGATGGAGAAATATTTTCTTACCTTTCAGTTGGTTTGTAGTATAGAGCAATATGAATCTTTTTCATCATTATTCTCTCGTGAGATGTAATGTTAAAGCCAGTCATAAATCAGTGGCAATCAAATGTCTGTGTTTTGTATCATTTTAAATTTGTCTATCAGCCCAGTGAGGATGAGAAAAGAGTTTTTACTCAGTATTAGTTGTTGTTCTTGTCTCACAAGCACAGAAAGACATGGCAGCTTCTTCAGGCTCTACTTCCTGTCTCCTATCACTTTCTGCAGGTGTTTCTGGCTCTGGAGCTGTGGAGTCTGGATCTGTGGTTGCAAGTCACCTGCTGACCCCACGTTCCTGCTCGACACCCTCTGCTACAATTGTTATTACTAGTCCTATTGTTATTATTACTGTCATTATTATAATTAACATTATGATTATTTTCATTAACAATGTTATCATTACCATTACTATAAATATCTGTACCATTATTCATTCAGTCTGTACCAACATTAACTTTACTGTCTGTACAGTAAAGTAAATTTTCCTTTTAAGGAATAATATCACAGAGTACGGTCTAGACCTGCTCTTTTATGAAAAGCGCTATGAGATAACTGTTGTTGTGATTTGGCGCTATATAAAAAAAATTGAATAGAATGAACTGACACTGACAGATGGAGCTGCCGATAGAAAACACCTTATAGTTAAGCTTTACTATACAAAACTAAGTCAAGTTAACACATGACTTTTGTTTAGAGTAGAAAATTATTAACTTTAACAATATCTAGTGCACATGAGCAGCAGGACCGATAAGCTTTGGTTTAGTCCAGGGCTCTGACAGCCTGCAAAATGAGTACTGAGGATTTTGTACAGCTGTTCAACCAACTCCAGTCACTGTGAGTCTCGAGCACAATAATAAACAGCAGAATCTTCAGTCTTCAGACTGTTCATCTGCAGATACAGCTGCTCTCTGCTGTTGTCTCTGGAGATGGTAAACCGGCCTTGAACTGACTGAGAGTAGTATTTGGTGCTACCATCAGGATAGATATAAGCAATCCACTCCAGTCCTTTTCCAGGAGCCTGTCTGATCCAAGCCAAATACTGTGCACTGAATGTGAATCCAGAGGCTGTACAGGTCAATCTGTGGGATTCTCCAGGTCTTTTAACCACTGGTTCAGATTCTGTCAGAGTCTGACCATCAACACCTGTCAAGAAAAAAAGGCATCATGTGAAATAAGCTGGTTACTTATAAAAAGGTATGCTAAATCAAGACCTGTGAAGATCTTCACCTGCCCAGCAGACAGTTAAAAGCAGCAGTCCTGTCCTATAGTCCATCATGTTAAACTGTGTGTCCACTGTTCTCTGTCATCCTCTCTGCAGTCAGATAAGTAGAGGTGGAAGAAATCTGAGTTTTGCATTGACTCCTCCTCACAGGAAGGAACTGGATTTGACTTGGATCTCAGTTACTGTTGAAACTGGAAAATAAATGTTTACAAATGTTTATAAATGTTTAATCTCATTTTTGATGAACACATTATTAAAGTTGGTTGCTTTATTATTAGGCACAGTCTGTATCATGTCTGTCACAACAGATCTGTTTTACAATACCCCCAAATTAGTAATTAAAATTACATTTTATTAGGGAAAAAACAATAAAATAAAACCTTAACAAATATTTCTATATGTTATAATAGTGTTGATTTATTCACAAACTGTTCATAATTTAAGGACATTGTGACAGAAAACCCCAAAATCAAGTGCATAAAAACATTGGTATTTTTATTTTTTATATAAGATTTATAAATTCAGTAGATGTGAATTGTAGATGTGAAGAAATAATTTATGGGTAGTGTGACTGACGCAGGTTTCCCCAAGTCATGAAAGGGTCGATTGCTGGAGTTAATAAGCCAAAGGTGACAGCCACAGACTCTCCGAATCAGACTCTCTCTCTCCACTCTGCCTGCTAGTCGACTGATGCAGCTCAGTTGATAATGATTGTCATAGATTTGTTAGCTTACCCAGTTCAAAGTTAACTTTATTTTATTTTAAATGTGCTTTATAAATAAATTTGAATTGACTTGACTTGACTTATTTTGTTTCATTGCAGACATACTGACTGGCTCTTTTTTAAAGTGTTGCATGTGGCTTAAAAAACACACAATGTGTTTCATTCGATTTCAATTATAAATGTAAATCTGTGTCCTTGTCCTGTTGACTGAATAAGGTTACAGTTCTGGAATGAATTGGGAACACGTTTGGAAATGTGTTTCAGAGTTTCATATTGCAATTAAAACAGACGATTACTGAGCAGCCCAATGTGGGTATATTTTGAAACCTTAGCTTCCCCTTTACAGATAAAGTTCACACTATGATCAATTAAGCCTTTCTGTACCTTTTGTTTTTGGTTGTTGTGCATTTGTTTCATTTTTATGTCTATCCTGTATTTATATAAACACTTTAATAAATAAATGCTGCATAGAATAGCGAGAGTTAATCACAATCAGTATTGTAAAAAAGGTGATACTGAAAATAATGGAGCTGGATATAATTCCATTGACTCCTCCTCACAGGGAAGATACTGCTGGATTGGACTTGGACATCACCTGTTCTCACTGTTGTGACTTGAGCCAAATTAATTTGGTTATACGTCTGAATTTGAATCCGAATTGTTCTGAGAAGTTAAATTTTGTGCTTGGATTTTTATTGTTTGAAATTAGACTTCAGGTTATTCATGAGTAACAGAACAAACTACAAGCAAAAACACACATCTGAAACCAGTTTAAAAAATATATTAATGTTTGGTTTTATATGTTTCTGTATTGAACATCACCATAAGTGGTAAAGACTACTGTTTCAGTTACTGATGTAGCATTGATTCAGACAATTATCAGTTTTATTTTATGTATGTAAAGATTTTATTGAAGAGAAACTGACTGTCTGGAAATCTGTTTCTTGTTAGATGATGAGGATTTAAAGCTAGGTTGTCAGCTGACTGTATTTCATTAATTGAAAGATTTAATATTCATTTATTCTTCATTGTGGGAAACATATGTATCGCTTATCAGTGATTGCAATGTCAGAATTTAGAATAAAAAAACAGTTGCAGTCAATTGAAATTAGGATAATTAGATTTTTTTATTGTATAATAAAACTCTAGACTGTTTCCCTCTGTAACAGTAAACTGGTGTTGAAGTCATTAGTTGTCTGAGGGCTCCTCCTCTGGTGGCTTCATGTAACAAGTGTTCAGGCACTGAGGGGTTTTTGTTCAGGTCTACTGATGGTTTGTGTTATTGTGGATATCTGGCACAGTAATACACAGCAGTGTCTTCAGGCTGCACATTCTGTCCGTTTAGAGTCACTGTGTTGCTGGAAGAGTCTAAGTGGATACTTAACTTGTTCTTTAGTGAATCTTTGTAATGTGTGCTGGAGCCAACTCTCATTCCAATCCACTCCAGTCCGTTCCCTGCAGGCTGTCTGATCCAAGCTGTGTAGTAGCCAAGAGAATAAGAGACCTGACAGGTGATGGTCAGACGTTGACCTGGCTGCACAGTCACAGAGGCTGGCTGTGTCAACTGTTCACACTTCACACCTGTGGAGAAAAACATGTTGAATTTTGAATCAGTGTAATAACAGTGAACAGTCACCTCCCCTCTGCTTACTAGGTGATATATCAGCAATCAGTCTGGAAAATAAGGAAAACAATCGATTACTCCTTGTGGCTCTAACTATCGCCAAGAAAACCATCATTCTGAACTGGAAATCACCGCCATACATATAACACATTGGAAAAACTTAATGATAGAGTACATATCCATGGAAAACTTATCTAACCCCACCACAAACATCACGATAGACTCACACTCTACCTGGACAGCATTCATTAAATTCATCCAATCCTGTTTCCATGGTTCTTGCCGAGTTAAACCAACCGTAATAGACACAAATCATGTTTTGAACAATATCTACTAGAGGCCTATTTGGTCAGGGCTGGGTCCCCATATTCTTTACTCTCCACATCAAATATTCTATATTTTACACATCAAATAAATGTTTAATTTGCACATGAATGCACAGTCTCTACTTAACTGGCCCCCTCCTCACTGTCTGGGAGCAGTTTAGAAAGTGGACATGGTCACTTTGGGCTGGCTCCCTCCTAAAGGGTCTGGGAGCAACCCAAAATAGGACCAGCATCAGACAAAATTAAACAAACAAAGCAACAATCCTTTAAAAGACAAACAGAGTAAAATAGGAAAACTTTCTAAACAGAAAGGTGTGCTGACCCGGCGTGCCCAACCCTTGCTGTCCCGTTCCGCTGCCCCGGGAGGCGCCTTCACGTTACCTTACTGACAGGGCCTGAGGCCGAGGGGCAGATGACTCTAGTACTACGTATATTGTGACTTGCAGCGGTTGGGGACGGTGGCAGCAGCAGTATTCCAACTCTATTTTGACTTTTTGTTTGTATTATTATTAATAACCCGTACTTATTTGTTATTATTGTTATTGTTATCACTATTATAGTAATGATAACAAAAAGTTGTTGTTTTTTCTTCTTCGCTTGTAGTCCCCCGCCAGCCTCTTAGCCTATCTCTATTTTCTATCCAATAGGCATCTCCCTTCCCTGACAATGTGGGAGGCTTGTATTTACACACACAAGCACATACACACGCACACGTACAAACACACACACACACAACATTTTGTTGCTGCTGTTGTTATTGTTGTCATGAACATGTTTTGTTGATGTTTTTCTTTCATTTGTCTCTCTCTTCTTCTTTCCATTGTATTGTCATGTCTATATTATGTATTTTGTCTTGCAATAAAAAAAAAGGAAAAATAACAGTGAACAGTCAGTGTGCTGTGATCATACTGTCAGTGTCTCTGCCTCAGTGAGACTCACAGGATCCAGCAGCAGCAGCAGCAGCAGAGCTACAGAGAACATGGTTGGTATTGAAGGTGATCTGATGGGAGCTTCTCTTCTTCTGCTGCAACTGACAGCATGACATCAAGTCTTTATAGCAGACTGTGAGGAAGTTCACTTTGTGTAGAGAAGGACACTGACAGGCTATAAGGTATATAATGGACCAGACAATTAATTGTGCATTGGTTTTTGTGTGGGAAAATTGTTTTCTTAAAAATTTGGTATTCAATCTGCAAATCTTGAGGAAGAGTTTATCTCTAAATTAAACAAAAGAATGTAAATTTTTTCAGCACATGGTGGTGGTAAAAAGAGGAAGTACTTTTTGTATGACTCTCACATTATTGTCTCTCACTGTGGATCTCTGGCACAGTAATACACAGCAGTGTCTTCAGGCTGCACATTCTGTCCGTTTAGAGTCACTGTTTTGCTGGAAGAGTCTAAGTCGATACTGAACTTGTTCTTTAGGGAATCTTTGTAATATGAAGATCCAGTATCTCTCATTCCAATCCACTCCAGTCCTTTCCCTGCAGGCTGTCTGATCCAAGCTGTCCAGTAGCCACTAACAGAATAAGAGACCTGACAGGTGATGGTCAGACGTTGACCTGGCTGCACAGTCACAGAGGCTGGCTGTGTCAACTGTTCACACTTCACACCTGTTAAAAAAGAAAATGTTTTGTAACAAATGATCAAGTTATACTGCAAAAGAAGAACTGCTGACTTTGTCAAATCCAGAGAGACTCACATCCAGCTGCCAACAGCAGCAGCAGAGCTACAGAAAACATGGTTTATGTTGAAAGTGACGTGCTGTGAACTCCACTGACAGCCTGATGGGAAGTTTTTATAGCTGAGTAACAAGGAAGGTCACTGAGTTTGCATAGAATCAAACACATGAAGCATCAATGTTGGTCTAACTGGAGCCAATAGAAGAGTCTGTTGACTGTTATTATATCTGCAGAGTGAAAACATGCCTGGAAATCACCTCTGCTTTACGTAAGATGTTTTAATTTCATTGTACATTATTTCATTATAACTATTCTTAATGGAAATATTAACATGAATCATGGATAATGGAAAACATATTCATTAAAATAATATTGCTGCAAACACAAATACAGTGACAGCAGCCGGGATCATGTAGATGGTATAAAAACTTAAGTCTGATGCTGCTGGTTTGAAGGTTTGCATATAAGATGATGATGAATAATTTCAGTGTTTGCAGATGTCAAAGACATCATTTCAAGACGACAGCTGCTCAGGAACTGAAACCTGTGTGACTAAATACAAAAAACGTTTTTTTATATGTTACTTTCTGTGATTATAACTACATTTTACATTTATCTGTGTCTGATTATGTCAGAAATAAAACTGTCTTAATCAAATATCATGCTATGTGGTTAATTGTTTTCGGGATTTTTTAGGT